GTGTTTTGGGAATATCTAAAGGCAAGAAGAAAAAGAAGCTAAGGGCTTTAAAAGAAAGAGCCTACTCAGTGAAATAATACCGGAAAAATTCCCCAGTCTTCAGGAAATGTGGACGTCTGTGTGCAGAAAGCTTACAGAAACCTAGCAGGCATGACTATGAAAGATCTTCATCACAGCTTATTTCAATCCAAACACCAAGAGTGTAAGGCAGGGGCTGGGGACAGCTCAGTGGATAAGAGCAAAGGATCTGGGTTCAGTTGCCGGCACCTCCATGGTGTTTCACAACTGGCTATAACCTCAGTTCCGGGAGGTGTGTAACCCTCTTCTGGCTTCCACTAGCACCAGGTGTGCCCACAGTGCACAGCGAATAAGTACATGAAAGCAAAACACTAGTACAATTTAAATAAAAATAAATAAATACTTTTTTAAGGAAAAAAATTAATATGCAAAGGAAAAACCCAAGTCACTTTTAAGGACATTCCTATCAGAGTACCAGCAGATTTCTTTGGAATTGTATAGCCCAGGGGAGAACGGAATGACAGAGTCCATATCCTGAAAGAAAACAGCTGCCCACCAAGATTATTACACAAAGCAAGACTGTCTTTCAGAAATGACCTTTCAAGGCAGTAAGAGAATCCATGGGACTAGACTTACAGAAGACACTTAAGTGAAGTAAGGATGAATGTGTATGAAAATACAGTTGTCACTAGAAAGGCAGATACAAATACTAACAAAGCAACAAAACATCAAACTTCACAGGGGAGCAAGAGCAGGAACAAAACCAGCAAAGATGTGCAAAAACTGCAAGCAACAAAATAATGTTGAGATACCCTCCCCTCTCAATCACAAACTTAGATGCAAACAGACTAAATGCTCCAATTAAAAGGAACGACCAAATAAATAAATAAATAAAAAGAACAGAGCAAGCAAATGGATAAAGAAATATAATCCAACCACCTGCAGCCTTCCAGAAACTTACCTCACCAATAGAAATGTGTCTTGATGGACAGAAAGAGAAAATGGTGTCCTAAGAAAATGAAAACTTAAAGCAAGCAGGGGTAGCTATACTTCCACCTAATAAAAAAAAATTCTGGGATTAAAAAAATACTAGGAAGAGACAAAGAAGGCCACCCTCAATGACTGAAGGAGCAATTCAACAAAAGATACAATTATTACAAGTCTCTGTGTACCTAATGCAGAGTGCTCAATTCTATAAAATAGACCAAAAAGGAAAGAGAGAGATGCTTCAGTCCAATAACAGTGAGGGATTTCAACACTCCACTCTCACTAGTGGGCACATTAACCAGACAGATAAATGCAGAAGCAGGAGAAGTGAGGTGCTCTGGATATCAAATACAGACATCACAGAACTACCTAGTAAATATAGAATAGACCCTTTCACTCACATGGAACTTCCTGTAGAATATGCTGTACATTAAATTACAAAAGTAATACTGACAAATGAATTAAAATGATATTCTACATATTTTCTTATCACAATTAGATAAAACTACAAGTCAATAATAAAAAATTGTAATTATGTCATGAAGATAGTATATATATACAATTTTTAAAAGAATGTTTCACTCTGTTACCTCAGGTGACCTGGAACTCATTATGTAGATCAGGCTAGGCTCAAACTCACAGAAATCTGCCTGCCTCTGCATCCTGAGAGCTAGGATTAAAGATGGTGCACATCCAAAATTTGGCTATGAGTCTCAGCATCTGCTTTGATACCCTGCTGGGTAGAGTCTTTCAGAGGCCCTCTGTGGTATGCTTCTGTCCTGTTCCCTGTCTTCTCCCACTTCTGATGTCTATCCTGTTTGCCCTTCTGAATGAGGATTAAGCATCTTCCCTAGGGTCCTCCTTGTTTGGCTTTTTTTTTTTTTAGGGCTATAGCTCTTAGTATGTTTATCCTATAGTGTATGTCTAATATCCACTTATTAGTGAATATATACCATGTGTATCTTTCTGCTTCTGGGATACCTCACTCAGGATGATCTTTTCTAGTTCCCACCATTTGCCTACAAATTTCATGATTTCCTTGTTTTTTAATTGCTGAGTAGTATTCCATTGTGTACATGTACCACAATTTCTGTATCCATTCCTTGGTTGAGGGACATCTAGGTTGTTTCCAACTTTGGGCAGAGTGCAGGAAATTTTATGGAAGAAGGAGGAGATAGAAAAATCTGGAGAGGACAGAAGCTCCACAAGGAGACCAACATAGAAAAAAAAAAAATCTGGGCCCAGGGGGGCCTGCAGAGACCAGTACTCCAACCAAGGACCACTCATGCAGAGTTCCTAGAGCCTCTGCTCAGATATAACCCATGGCAGCTCAGCATTCAAGTGGGTTGCCTAGTAAGGGGAACAGGAGCTCTCTCTGACATGAACTCAGTGGCTGGTTCTTTGATCACCTCCCCCTGAAGGTGCAGCCTTGCCAGGCCACAGAAGAAGATGATGCAGCCAGTTCTGATGAGATATGATAGGCTAGGGTCAGATAAAAGGGGAGGAGGTCCTCTTTTATCAGTGGATTAGGGAAGGAGCATAGGGGGAGATGAGACAGGGATGGTGGGACTGGGAGGAGACAAGGAAGGGGGCTACAGCAGGGATACAAAGTAAATACCTTGTAATAAATAATAAATAAATGAAATTTAAAAAAAAGATGGAGCACACTTTTGAATGAACTTAAAGGAAAACTAAAGACTGAGAGAAATTGTTTTCAAACTATGTACAGAACTATGTAAAGAACTATGTACAAGACAAAAAGGGCTTGGAAATTAAGCAACTAAAAACATCCCATGTGGAAAATGGGCATAAGACAATAATATTTAGCCAAGGAAGTTATGGATAACAAGAAATACTTGGAAGATGTCTAACAGCATTAACTAGGAAACAAGTACAGCCTAAGGCCAAAAAGAGACACAGTATTCTAGGATTTAAACAGGGAGAAATGACATTTGGGTGTGGGGTGCACAAATGAGCATTGGGGAGCTCAGGATGGAGAGACTGAGGCCAGCTGGGGTTACATAGCCAGTTGAGGGCCAGCCTGAGCTACTACAGGGAGACGCTGTCTTGAAAACCAAAAAGGTGAGAAATAACACCTACATCCTGGAAGATACTACACGAGTATTGTGCAGTGCGGATGTCACTCAGCATCGAAAGGAAGAAGCTGAGAATCAGAAAAGCAACCTCAGGAGTCCGCACACTAGGAATCCACCTGCTCAGCATCCTCAAAACCACTAACTTGTGGAGATGAAAAACCAGTCAGTATCTAGAGATAACAGACAGTGAGGAGTGACTGGAAAGGAGCGCGGCAACTGTGTGTCCCCAAGAGAGACAGTTGCCTTCTCTGAGCTTCAGTTCCACAGAATGATGGTTAGCATTCCCCTCCCCCACCAAGCTTAGGTAGTGTGTATTTCACCTGACAACACCCCCCCCCCCCCCCCCCCGTGTCACCTATGGCCTGATCCTCCATTTATTTTCCTAAAGGTAGCGCACCCAGTTTACGGGCGTGAGCAGCATTACAGAAAACAGCACCATGCGCAGCCTCTGGTTTGTTCCTGCGTGTTTTACTGTGCCCCCTACAAGCCGCAGGGCCCGTGGCTCCAGCACACGCCAGGGGCATGCCATTCAGCCCAGAGACGTTTCAGACAGGGTCAGATTTGAAGTGTCACTTTACGGCGCCCCCATCCCCGCAGCTGGAAGGCAGGCCGCCCTCCCATTTCTCGGGTTTTGCCTCATCTCTTCCTCCTCAGGTGTTCTGCTGCAGCCGCTTTCCACTCCAAGCTCTCGGCAGAACCCGTGCGCCTCCCTGCCTTGGGGCTTGGCCCTCTGTTCTCTCTGCCTGGAAGATTCTAGATGCTGAGGTGGATCAAGCTCAGTCCTCAGGGCATTCAGGCTCCATTTAACGTCAAGTCACTTCCTCATACTCTCCTCTCTCAACTACTCGGTCGGAAGCGCACCGCAATACACCACACAGACACAACGTGACTACAGACATACTCACACCGTGACTACACACAAACACCCACCCCATAACCACACACACACACACACACACACACACACACACACACACACACACACAGTGCCCAGCTCGTTTCTTCCCTGCTAACCCTTTGACCCTGTAGAATTCTCTTCCACACTCCGGGCTCACATTTTCTTAGCTAAGGAATGGTAACTCTGCCGTCTGAGGGGTAGGCAGAAAGGTCATACATTGCTTACTCTCCATCTTCCTCCTTCTGCTCTTTATTTGGCTACAGGCCCTTATGTAGCTCAGGCTGGCCCTCAGCTCACACCACAGTTGAGGATGATCCTGAAGCTCTGCTTCTCCTGCCTTCACCTGCCTCCCCAGTGCTGGAATGGCGCTGAAGGTTTGGCCCCTCCTGCCAGGCCAGCTCTGCCAGTTGAGTGACATCGACAGCCCACCTGCCTGCTCCGTCAATGCTTTTTCAAAGGAGTGCTTTTATTTATTGTTTGATATTTAAACACATGTAAACAGTGTATCTTGATCCTTTTCACCCCAGACCCCTTCCCACCCACCCCCTGTACCCCAACACAACCTCTCCTCCTTTTCTGTGTCCTCTCCTTTATTATTGCCAGCCCGGTGAGTCTGGTCAGTGAGGGGGATTCCGTGTTTGCAGTGCCTGCATTGGGTGCTCAGCGCGCACAGGCTCACAGGTCAGTGTGTGGGAGGATGAGCAAGAAAAACTTGACTCTGATCATGGCGAACGTGGGGCAGACCCAGGCTGGGGAGAGGGGCAGGGCAAACTTCTTGGGGACTAGACAACGCACTGTCCACAAAGCAGCAGGCCTGCTGTCTCCTTGCACGAGGGTGTCCAGAGCCGACCCTAAACAACTAGTGAGCCGCTTTGGGCCCCGACCTGCAGAAGGCAGTTAGTGGAGCTGCGCTCTGTGTTCCTCAGATTTATTGCCCATGACTAGGCTCTACCTCAGTCATTAAAACCAAAAGCAGTTGGAGTTTCCCCAGCACATTCAGAATGCAGCCGACTGGTTCCTCTGCCCTCTCCAGACAGGTTAAGCTCTGGTTCCTGACCTTAGCTGTCCTTGTGGTCCTGGCTCAGACTTCCTCAGGTAACTAAAACTGTGGTGAAGAGGAAGAAGGAAGAGTCATCCTGTTTATAGGATCTTTGGGAAAGTGCCTGTGCATTCAGAAAGAATAGTCCGTAGGGACTGCTGAGATCTGGAGAGAGCCAGCCTTACTATGCTTGTGTCTTTGGAGTTGCTTGGGGAATCAATGTGTGTGAGGCTCTGGGTATAAGCTCCAGTAATGGGAAGAAGGAGTGAAGGGAATGGAGAGGGAAGAAAAAAGGGAGAAAGGAGAGGAGAAGAAAGGAGGAATAGAGGGGAAGAGAGTACTGGGGGGAGGAAAAAGGAGGGAACAGACGAAGGGACAGAGGAAAGAAAGGAGGGAAGCCAGGACTGAAGGGAGTATAAGGGAGGAGGGAATGGAAGAGGGTAGGGGGAAATTGAAGGAGGGACAGAAACGTGGGGATGAGCTTTCCTACGGGCTGCCCGCGGCTGCAGTGAGGCTTCTCATGAGGGAGACCAGAGAACGAAGCAGAGAGCAGGCAAGATCTTCCCCCTGGCATCAGTGCTCCCAACATCAGAGCTCTGATCCCAGGCTCCCACCTCAGTGGCCTCCACTGGTACTGTGCCTTACAGTGGCAGCGTGCTTACTTCACCTCCCCCTTGAAGCAAGCTCAGGAAGCATCTTGCTCTTATGGTGGGAAATGCGTGGGTGGATGTTGGGTTCATACTAGGCTGAAGATCGGGAGCTGTTATCTTGGCAGAAGAGTCTGGATTGTATGTGTAGCAAACAGACCAACATCAGCTGTCTTCCTTACTCACTCTCCACATAGTAATAACTACTATTTTTATGAATAATTATTTTAGGATGGGTCTCACTATACGGCCCTGGTTGGCCTGGAATTCACTATGTGAACCAGGCTGTCTTTGAACCCAGAGATCCACCTGCCTTTCCTCCCAAGCTCTGGGGTTAAAGGTGTGGGCCACCATGCCTGGTACCACCTTATTTTTTGAGACACCACTCTCTCTAAACCTGGAACTCACAGAGTGCCTAGACTGGCTGGCCAGTGAGCTCCAGCGATCTACCTGTTTTCAACCCCCATGTTTGTGGTTACAAATGTGAGCTGCTATGCTCAGCTTTAATGTGGATGCTGGCTGCTTAAACTTACATCCTATGCTTATGTGCCTGGGACCTGCCCCAGATGAGGCAAGGGCTTGAAGGAGGGTAGATGCAAGAGCGATGAGGGAAGGGAGGATCAGACTTGGGACACCATTCAGTTCCCTTTCATGAGAGACGGGACACAGAGGAAGCTCATCTCTGTGTGGCTTGACCTGACAACTTGTGTCTCTTGAAAGCTTTATTTACACACAAAATCATCTCCTCAGAAACTTTAATTATTGATTACATAGCTTTAAATCTTCCTTGGTTACATAAGAAAACAAAGTGAGCCAAGAGCAAATTTCATAAGAACTTAAAATTAACATTATGATAAAGTCAGTTTTCTTTTAACTTAAAGTTTTCTTCCTTATGATTGGTGTTGTTTTAAAGTCTTACAGTTGTAAAAATGCCAGGCAGGATGACTCCATTTGAGTTTGATTGTGTTTCAAGTTGGCAGAGAATTAATAGATTAAAATTTACTTCCTTCCCCCTGTTACATCAAACTAATCTTTCTTCAAAAGTTCAATCTTTTTGATCCTTAATTGATCCTTCCTTTCCTTCCTCTATTTTTCTCTTATATTTAAAATAAAAGCATCATCCCTTTCTTGGATTTTTAAAAATATTGTGCAGTTTTGTTTGTTTGTTTGCTTAAGCAAAAAGGTGGTCTGTCCTTTCATCTTTCGACAAAATCAGGAAAGTCCTGGTCTGACAAGATTGCTCAGGGAGGGCAGGCAGTTCAGGGAGCAAAATCCTTTCCTCCATGCCCCTGTCATGGACCTTGTTTTAATATGCTTTCCATCTTTATTATTATCCTGTAAGGGATTGAATATCAGCATTTCTAAACTTGCTTACTTTGCCTTCAGGAAGGTACCAAGGTCAGACAACAATAGCAGGATCAAAATCTCTTCCTGTCCATACTGGTTCCTTGTGTCTGAAGCTGAACGGGAAAGCCTAGTGGTTCACTTACAGCTCATCAGTTTCCAGATTTCCCTAAGTTTTTCTTTAACATTTTTCTCAGATCCTCTACTTCATGCTTACTAATATCATTTATTAATAACGTAACAGTAAATCTAAATGGGTTCTATGAAGACTCAATTTTCTGCGCAGTTGTTTTTTCTTCAAGGAACCACCATTCGTTTTATTATTTTTTATTAACACCAGCTTTTGTTACATTATTCCAACTCTAGCCTTTGGAGAGAGGCCTTTAACAGTCAGAAATATCCACCAAGGCGGGGGCTGGTAAAGGGTCAATCCAAGGCATCCAGGCACTGGAAGTTAGTCAAGTAGTGCCTCCAGGAGGCTTGGCGAAGACACTGGGTCACCTGGGCACTGGAACCTTGTCAAGCAGTGTCCCCAAAATGCTTGGCCTCGCTTCTTATGCACCAAGCGCTTCACCCCCCCCCCCCCCACTGAGTTATCTCTCCATCCCAAGTTTATGGTTTTCAGTTGCATCATTTTCTGTTGGGTCAAGATGAATCTTGCCAATCTTTCACTGGTTGATCTAGAGCATAGGGGAAGGGAAGGAAAAAAAAAGGCCTATCCTTGGTTTGCGTGGATTGTAAACTGCATTAAACTCTGGACAAGTGGAGCAGGGAGGCCACTGTAGAGACTGCCAGCACACCAGCTCATGGAATCCAGACATGGAAATGTAAGTCAACACGAGTTTGATTTTTTTCAGTGTGAGTGTCCTGGTGAGAGACAAGTCCGACTTACTTCCTAGGAGAGGACTTGGGGAAAGACGAGAAGCGAGGCTTTGTAATTTACACTGGCGCTATCAACATCTCACTGAACCCGCCATTCTCATGGGTCTGCCTACACCCTCGGGATATGCAAAGCTGTCTTCTTCACACAGCTAAGGACTCCTCTCTGCTCATTGTGACAGATGGATGGCTCAGAAAGTGCTTCTTTGGAATGGGCAAATGCAGACGTGTGTGTGGGGTAGATGAGAAGAAGAAAGAGCGGTGTGGGAAACACACTTTTTGCTGTCTCCTGGTATCAAGGTCAAAATTATCCTACATCCCACCCAGAAAAAAGAGAAAGAATGGTATGTATCTACTTCAGAACCCCAGCTTCAGCTTCAGAGGTCATATGACAAGTCAGTGACACATACAATACCTATGCTGGGGCCTTCGGGGTTCACTAATGTTCATTGCAAAGGGTCGAAGCACCAGGCCCGGCACCTAACACTTAACAGCTAGTCGCGGGTCTGACCCTAGCACTGAAGGAAAAGAGTTCATTCCATCTGTAAGTCCATCCTCTAGCAACTGTCTGGGTTGGATAACTTGACCAATAATATCAGCTCCTGTAGCATAACTTAGTGGCATCACAGTCCTTTATCCTTGAGCCTCTGAGAGGATGCTTCTGGGTCCCTGGAAGTTTCCAGGTGAATGTAAATTGTTTCTTGGCTGCAGATTCTTATGTACTATCTCATCCTAAAGAGACAGGATGGGCCAATAGGACCCAGAAGGTCTCCTCTTGCCTCTTCAGCTTAACGTTTTGCCCCAGGCTCTGCTTTATGGCCTTTCAGAATTGATGGCTTACCCCCAAGTCCCAAAGTCATAGTGGACTATACAAAGATGGTGGTATCCAATGACCAGGAGGCAACCATTCCTGCTCCAAGAAGACAGAAGGCAAAAACAGAAAACAACAACAAACAAACCACTCGGCCTCTGCTGAAATCTTATTATGTGGAGGGAATAAATGTGATGCCTCTTTGCCAGAAGAGCGAATGAAGTTGCATAGTTTGAAAAGGCTAGCCCTATATGTCACAGACATTCCTTCAAGCTGCTTCTCAATGCTTACATCAGTTGTCCCTTCCTCCAAATTACATCCTTCAAAGGATGTCCTTGGGATGTCTAGAGTGGGGTCTACGGCCATAACACTCTGACTGCACATGTTCTTGACCCATTTCAGAAGCTAAGCGGGTTGGGCCTGGTTAGTGCTTGAATGGCAGAGTGAACTAGAAACTGGGTCTTGGATTGTCCAACCTCTATAGAGTTGCTGTGGTGCTCACAGGCCAGCTGGACTGGGGAAGTGAGGCAGGTTCCCCGAGATGTCAAGAAAATACTTGGGTTTGGCCTGTGAGGCGAAGGCTTTCTTGAAAGCACTGGCAGGGTTTGTCCAGAGGCAGTGCATCAAGCAGACAACCTTGCCAGAGTCCAGTGGCACCAGGATGGGCAGGAGCACAAACAGGGGCTTCCCAAGCTAGCACCAGCCCTGGCCCCATCCTTGCTTGCATTCCTTGTGCTTAGACTCCAAAGACGTATGTAACACTTGCATGCTCAGTTCCCAGGGTCCTTGTGGGGTGTTATTGTCCTTTGTAATAGACACTATGGTCTTGTCCTACCCTTAGTGTCCTTCTAGCCTTGGAAAGATCCTTGGGAACAAAAAGAGATGTTTTGGGCCATGTCATTGGGTGTCTCACTTTTCCTAAGTATCATACACTTGTGTCAATATGTCTCCAAACTCATGTAGAAGGGTGCAGAGGAAATCTGGAGGCATCAATAGCGTACAGTAACCCTCCTTACCAACTGAGGCCCCCACTCATCCCCAAAATGGAAATCTCAGGCTTGATGACTAATCCAAGATACCTTTAGAGCTCCATTCTTCAGACCTCCATGAGCAGACACTGCTTTCTCAGGCAAAGGGAGGAGGTGGAGAAAATCAGCCTACAGTCAGTCACAATCCTAAAGCACATAGGTCCCTACTGCCTATCCCATACACGCATTTCAACCTAAAGACCTTCCAAGTTGTCCTCCAGGGCCCCTGATCACTGCCCTGCTGGCTTAACTACTTTTCCCAATGCTCTGATAAAATACTCTGACAAAAGCTGTTGGTATTTATATAAAAATTCCATGCATACAACCAATCTTAAATCCAGGGAAGTTTATTGGATGGAGATGGAGGGAGAGAGCAAAGGAAAAAGAAGAAGAGAGTCAGACAGATACAGAGACATGGTGGGGGGAGGGGGTGCCCCTACAGAGAGGAAGAGCAAAAGAGCAAGAGAATAAGAGAGCAAGAGGAAGGGGGATTGGCTGACAGGTGATTATGTACCTGGCCAAGATGATGTCATAGGACACAGGTGCTGACATAGGACATTGTCAGGACCCTGAAGGTCCCTAAGAAATGGCAAATTGAATTGCTTGCACAACATAACATTCCTCCCTTTTTGTTTAATTAGAAAAATGAGGAATTTAGGCTGCTTCTTATGTAAGGCAAGTTAAATTATATAAATGTAGGTTCATTGGAAGCAGCTCTTGGTCACCATGCAAGGGGATAAGAGAGAGAGAGAGAGAGAGAGAGAGAGAGAAGAAAAAAGTAAGAGTTACAAAATGTCCAGATTACATGGTGAGGAGGAGAGGAAGTCTCTGCCCTGAAAGTTCAGAATAGAGGGTGGAGTTGCCAGCCATGCCCAGCAGCAGATAGGGACTGAAGAATGCTGGAAGAACCTGCTCTAGGTCCTGGGCCTGCGGCACAGCATTCCAGCCTTTTGCTGATAATAAGTGGATCATGGGCGAAGAAAGCAATCATCTTTAGCTTCTTCCTGCTGATACTGGGGCAGCAACAGAGGTCAAAAGGGTGAAACATTGGCCAAGCCCAGGAAGAGTAAGGCTGTTTTGATGCTGTCCAGGGTCTGTGAGAACATCCGTGGCTGGGAGGGAAAGTGTAGGTCTGGCTTGACACAGTCTGTGAGGTTAGACCGGAGCACCTGTGGATAGCTGTTTTGGTGATGTCTTGGATGTAGGAAACACCTGTGTCTGGCAGGATACTGGAACATATATATAGGCAGAAGACAAAGTTAAGTAGGTTACAGAGAAAGTTTTTTTCTTTAGGTGTACATTACCTTTAGGTGTACATTTGAAACTTTTTGGGAGAGCAAACAGCGACAGAAGAAGAGACTTGAAAATAGGAACCTCCATTTACTCTACCACTGACAGTAATTTAAAAGATTTTGGTTTGGATCTGGCATCTAAGGAAATTGAGGCCAAGTTTGGTTGCAGAAGCGAGTAAGTCTAGAGGCCCTTAAAGCAGGTGCTAGCTGTAGGGATGTGAAATTATCGAGGAAGCATCCCAGGGAGGAGCTTGTAGGTGTGGTGGAAGACATGATTCCCATGAATGAAGAGAGAAGAGTCAGTTCTGCAAGTCTTTGGGGCATCCCCACAAAGAGGCACAAGGGGCACAAGGTGGCAGAGTAGGTCACCACAAGCAGTACCAGGGGCCTCAAGGAGACACGCCAAACCTAGTACTAGGATTTTCTGACAGAGCGTCTGATAAGTGAGAGGAAAGGAAAAGCCGAAAGACCCTGTCAGTAAAAAGAATAAGATTATTCACCCAAGGGAAGGCAGTTTCTTTGAAGATCAGCAAGAAGGGCCAACCATAACCTTGAAGGCCGTGGTTGGAGGGTACCCCCTTTCCCCAATGAACCGGAGAGATAGGTCAGCCTCTCGGACAAATGGGACTGTCTACATCAACATGGGAGGGATTTTATCAGTCCCTCGAGCGGTCCAGTAACTGGAAAGTGGGCCTGCGGGTGGGCGCGGGATAGGGTCCCGGCCATGGGGATTTACCCCACAGTGGGGAATACAGACGCCAAAGAGCCCAGTTTGGGTTTCCGCACCAAATGTCGAGATTTAGACGACAGAGCTGAACAATGTAATCCAAGAAGTCACACTACAAGACAGGCCTCATGTGAGAGGCCTGTTAGGGAAGGGAACGCAGAAGCAGCTTCTGGTGGAAGTGGCGGGAAGAAGAAAAAGGGCCGAGCAAAGTTGATGGGCCCTTTTATAAGGTGTCTCTGCACATGTGCAAGAGTTAGATGCGTGCTTTGTGGCTGTCGTAAAGCTGTCGCAGCTCAGCACGTGTTCGGGCACCAACGCATGGTTCCTGGTGGCTGGGGAAGGTGTTGCGCTGGTGATGACGCGCTGGTGATGATGCGCTGGTGATGACGCACTGGTGCTGTCCTGCTTTGCTATTGACAGGTTCCTGGGGCTAATGGCGGAACTGCCTGATTACTAATAAAAGCTACTTAAGAAGGGAAAAGCTTACTGTAGCCAACAGTCAAAAGGGATTCCTTCTGTCATAGCCCGAAACAACATCATCAGGAGCTTAAGGCAGCTGTGTCCACAGTCAGGAAGCAGAGGATGAGGAAAGCCCACGTTCTGCTCTCTTCCTTTTAGAGAGGCAGCCTGGGATCTTCCCACCTCACATGCAGGGCAGGTCTTCACACTGGAGTTGACCCACTCTAGAGACTTCGTCACTGCTGTGCCCACAGCCTCAGCCCTTAGGACAGGATCCTGTCAAGATGACAATCAACACTAACAGTCACACCTGCCTCTGCTACTCCAGCTGGGCAATCATCCTCTCGTCTATTACAATAGGAGGCATTTCATCACTGTCTTTTCAAGTCTAAATTCCAAACCTCAGTCCCCTAGGATGTGAGTCACTTGGAGAGAGGGTCTTTAAGAAGGTAATGGGAGTAAGATGAGATTGTTATGGTGGGGTCCTAAAGCTGTATGATTAATGTTGCTGTGAGAGGAGGAGACTTGAACCTAATTATCTGCAAATGATTATGACACACAGAACAATGTATGACTCAGGAAGATCCAGGGCACCGGCAAGCCAAGGAGAGAGGCCTGAGGAGAACCAGTTCTACTGATGTTTTTACCTTGGACTGATGTTTTCCTCAGAGTTGAGGGAAAATAAACTTCTGTTGTCCAAGTCACCTGGTTCGTGATATTTTTTAAAGACAGCCCTGGTTCTTGTACCCTAAATGTTGCCCTGAAATCCAAACCTCAAAGGTTTAGTTTTGATTTTAAGGCTTTCAAAAGTGGGGCTGTGGAGATGCCTCAGTTGGGAAACTGTGCAAGCTTGAGGGCCCAGGCTTGACCCTCAGAACTCACACAGAAAATCAGATGATTTCAATCCTGGTGTTGGGGAGCAGAGATGGGAGGCTCACTGGCCAGCCAGCCTATCCATCTTTTAGAATTCCTGGCTAGTGAGCGATGTTGTCTCAAAAAAAAAAAAAAAAGGTTGTTGGCACTTAATCAGTAGCACTGTTATTGTTCTTGTCTTCTGTTGCTACAATAAACACCACGACTAAAACCAACTTTCAGGGAAAGAGTTCATTTGGTTTACAGATTACAAAACACTGTTAAGGGAAGCAGGAACTCAAGGCAGGAACCTGGAGGCAGAAACTGGAAAGGAAAGCATGAAGGAAGGATGCTTGCTTCCAGGCCCACTTTCAGCTAACCAGACCTTGAGTTTTTGTCAGTACTCCTCGCTCATCCTTAAATCTGAATGATATACCACACAAAACCACCTTACAGTTTCATTTACAAACAGGCACAAAGAGGAGAAATAATCAGGGCAAGGGAAATAGCTCAGTGGGTAAAGTGCTTGCTGTTTAAGCATGAGGATGTGAGTTCAAATCCCCAACATCCATGTAAAAGCTGGGTGTGGTGGCAAATGGCTATCATCTAACATTGGGAATGTGGAGGTAGGTGTTTCCCCAGGGCTGGCTGCCCCCCAGTCTGAAGGGAACAGTCTGAGGGGAAGGATAGGAGGGCAAGGGCTACTCAGAGGCAGCTGCATCACCAGCATGGGTGAAAGTTCATGAGATCTGGAACTCTGGAGCTCTCCGAGTTACCAGTTGGGGCTCTTCGGTCAGGTTCATTTTCCCCACTGATTGAAGAATAAAAAGGCAGGAAATAAACATGGTCACAGAATGCTCACAAGTATACTAAAGGCAAAAGTGCAAGCGCACACACATGTACAGACACCTCACATGTGTCAGCAGCTGAGTTCTGTGTCTCCCTGGAGGGAAATGTTTCTGTTGGTCTGAGACGCGATCTCCTCCCCTCAGTTTGGATCAGTCAGCTTGGACAAAGGCGAGTGGACTGTTGGTTGACTGACGCTCATGTCCAGGTCTACCTGGGGCATG